AAACCAGTGAATTGTATACCTCACATGGGTGAAAGGGCCAGGTGTGAGGGCTCACACCTGTGATTCCATCACTCCAGGGGGCAGAGGTGAGAGCATCGCTTGAACCCAGGAGTTTGAGCCCAGTCTGGGCAACATAGCAAGACCCCATCTCTACAAAAATAAAAAAATCAGCTGGGTGTGGTAGCGTGCACCTGTGGTCCCAGCTACTTGGAAGGCTGAGGCAGGAGGATGGCTTCAGATCACTTCAGCCCAGGAGTTCAAGGCTGCAGTGAGCCACTGCACTCCAGCCTGGGCGACAGAATGAGACTGTCTCAAAACCAAAAAGAAAAGAAAAAAGAAATGGGTGAGGGGCATGGTGTGTGAATTCTGTCCCAGCACAACCATTAACAAGTAAAACGTCCCTGAAGAAGAAGGAGGACCCAGAGAGGGAGCACAGAGTTCAGGCACCGCCTGCACCCAGTCCCGGGCCCTGCTGTGCGGCAGTGCTGGGGCAGAGGCCTGGAGAGGGACACAGAAGGGAGATGCCTCATGTGAGGGCTGCCACAGAAGGGAGTCAGAATCCCCCACGGTGGCTGGAGGGAACATGGATCTCAGAGCTTTCAAGGGGGGAGAGAGTGCAGTCCCTTGGGTGTTGCCAGGAACCACATGGCAAAGAGGTCAAAGCTGATGCCACCAGAGAGAGGCGCCAGCATCCCTGCTGCCCACCACCGACTCTACACCCGAAGCAGCTCCGCCACCTCCACAGTCTTCCAGGCTCATCAACACCTGCTGACCGCAAGGCTCCCGGTTCCCTGCTAGCCAGCCCTTGCCCAGCCCGCCCTCACAGCTGCTCTGCAACCCTGGGTCTGGGCAGAGGGGCAGGGCTGCCCGGGAGCTGACTAAGCACAAAGGCAAACCAGCTCAGAACTGACTTAGCTGTGAACAAGTGCAGGAAGGGCCGCCAGGCAGATGCCCGCCAGCAGGCTGTGCTCTCGGGACCAGGCAGCAGCCTGACCGTGCAGGAGCTGACACCACAGCTGGCAAGAACGCACCTCAATTCCCTTCTCATAAAAGTGGAAGGAGCCAAAACCCAGAAAACTCACTTATCCAAAATCAGCCACATCAAAGCAAAACAATTATGTATGGACCGCCGGCCACCTCTTTCCCACCAGTAGTGACAGCAGAGTCCAATACAGGAATGAAAGGCCAGCTGCAGGGTTCATTGAGCGAGGTCTGGCAGTCCCTATTAAACTTGGGAAAGTCCCAGCCACCCCAGCCACCTCCAGGCCCAGGCATCTGGCCAGAGACAGGGATGCCCATGATGGTTTGGGGATGGAAAACTGGGCTGCAGACGGCTTTTCACAGGTTGAGTAGGTCAAAAGTATTTCCCTAATACTATGGAATGACTCCTCTTTCTGTTCTCATTCTCTCCTAGGGAAGAACAACAGTGAACACCTGAGGGGTGCCTGCGACGGGGGATGATGGCATCCCTCTGCCGGCCAGCGCAGTGAGCTGCGTATTCTCACGCAGTCTCAGCTCCCAATGTGGGAAATACTGGTAGTTATAACCAACATAAACAAGAACTCTTTCAGGGAAAAGGGCTTGGGGACTGGTACACTGCAAAGCATTTACAGCAACACTGTCTGCACAGGGTCAGAAGCAGCCCCAGTGGGGCCACCCTCGAAGCCCACAGCACAGCCACTCTGGGACCGCACAGATGGAGCAGTGATGAGAAAACACTTCGGAGCAGGACTCTGTGGGTCCCAGGATGCTACAAAACACAGCTGAAGTTTATGCACACAGCGCTTCAAGAGCGGTCACCTCTGTGCAGGGACAGTGTCTCACACCTGTAATCCCAGCACTGTGGGAGGTGTCACCTCTGGGCAGGGACCATGACTCACACCTGTAATCCCAGCACTGTGGGAGGGGTCGCCTCTGGGCAGGGACAGTGGCTCACACCTGTAATCCCAGCACCCTGGGAGGGCTTACCTCTGGGCAGGGACTATGACTCACATTTGTAATCCCAGCACTGTGGGAGGTCAAGGCAGGTGGATTGCTTGGGCCCAGGAGTTGACCAGCCTGGACAACATGGCAAAACCTGGTCTCTGCAAAAATTACAAAAAAATTATCCAGGCATGGTGGCGCATACCTGTGGTTCCACCTACTCAGGACGCTGAGTTTATCTGAGCCTGGGAGGTCAAGGCTGCAGTGAGCCATGATTACACCATGACACTACTCCAGCCTGGGTGACAGAATGAGACCCTGTCTGAAAAAAAAAAAAAAAAGTTGGGGAGGAGAAGTGGGCTTATGAAGTGAGACTTTATAAACTGCAAAAGCAAAAGCAAACCACCTCTACTTGTGCACAAAAGAAAAACAGGGTCCACCACAGGCAGCATATCTGCGTCAGATTCAAACACCTGTCTCTTCGGAACGGGACTGGCTCCCGCACTGCTCACAGACGAGCTTGGCTGCCAACAGGACGGGACTGGGCAAGAAAGATTCCTTTACAGCCTGAGCACTGCCTGCAGGGTGCGTTCATCAGCACGGGATGGGCTGCACAGAGGCAAACAGAATCACAAACAGGGTCCCCTGAAATCCAGAGCAAACCAAGGAACCAAAACCTCCTTCACTCATGAATTCCCTTCCACTGGCCAGGCTTCTAGCCCTCAAGTACCACACCCCAAACCTCAACCCAGGAAGGGGGCCTGGAAATGTGAGTGACTGGCCGGTTTCCCTGGAAGGGGGCTGGATCTGGCCCCTGGGAACTGAGCTGCACACATTAAGAAATCTGTTGGTTACGTACAGATATGTTTCCATTCAGCTCTTACATCACAACACACCTTTCCGAATTAACCTATGTACTGTTTACCGAAACAAATGTTCCTTCTAAACAAACATAATGCAAAATTCCACATAGCCTTTAAGAAAAATGAAAATTCAGAGACAATATGTTGCTAAACAAAAGTGAATTAAGTTACCCAGTTTAATATCAACCAGGAGAAATATGTGTATACACTCGAAACACAACAAAAACGCTGGAACTCAGAATCAAAGATGACTGGAAAGAATGTCTGCACAGCAAAACCCTTCTCCGTTTGAGACTAAAACGCCCCCCATGCTTAATGTTCCTGACATTTCTGAGGCTTTGAAGCCGCAGCGAACAGAACCATCTTATAGTGATACGTTACTGGAAAGCCTAGAATAGAACGCCAAATATACAGACACACACCCATGCCAGGCACTTTTGTAAAAAACGATCAAACATAAACCTAGTTGGAAGTGTGAGGGAAAGCAGCTCGTCCCCGGCAGGCCAGTATAATACATACGAAGAACACAAAAACAGCACCTTTTGTTAATAAAAATCAAACCTAGCCTGTGTGTGAACTCAGCTTCATCAAACACTTCACTCATGCCTGCTGCCAGCAAAGACACAAGACCTCCTCCTGAAACGGAACCCATGCGTGCATCAGTGGCACACGTCCATCAGAAAGCTGGTAGGCGCCCCACTGTTCACCTAGGAGGGAGGGAGGGAGCGTCCCTGGCTCCACAGCCTCCATCTGGGCCACTTGGAGCCGCACTCTGCTTTATTTGGGTTGGCAGCACGAGCACCAACAGCAGGGTGGCACTGTGGCTGAAATGCCGAACTAGGTCAGCCTGGCCTGTCTCTGGGGAGCTCCCAGTGCGCCCTGGGCCTCTGCTCCCTGGTCTCGCCAGAGATGGGGCCGCCCCGGGATCCTGGGTGGGACTGAGTCTTGGGTGGGAGTGGCCCTAGAAGGTAAAGGCCATAGGCAGTCAGTATTCCCTTTCTGGCCCTGAAGAGCTTCTCAGCATCTTTTTCTTTAATAAACAAGAAACATACAGTCCTACAGGGCTTTCAACAGACTTCCCTTATTTAAGAACTAAATAGATACTAAGTTACAGGGTTAAATGAGGGCATCCTACCCTCTGGCCCTGCAGGGACAGACGGTGAGGCCAGCACCGGGCATCAAGGACCTGGGGGTGACAGCCAGAGTGAAGGGCCTAGGGTCAGAGGACCGGGGCCCGGGGTGGAAGTCACAGGCTGGAGTTTGGGAAGCAGGCTCAAGGCCCAGGCTTCAAGAGCAGGATACAGGATTCAGGGGCAGGAGCTTGTCGGAGGAAAGGACCGATGATACAATCAAGCAAGCAGAGTTAAGGACAGGGTGCAGAATCAGGTTTGGGGCCTGATTCTGGAACCAGGGTTCCAGGTTCAGGGGTCGGGGACAGGGGCTCAGGGCCACAAGCTGGGGCCTGAGGTTGAAATTCAGGATTCGGAGTCAGGCTATAATGGCTCTGGGTGCAAAGGACCACAGTTTGGAGGCTGGGATTCAGGGTTTGGGGAACAGGGACAGGATGCTGGGGCTACAATCCAGTGTCAGAAGTTCCTGGGTTAGGGTTTGTGGTTATGTTTCAGGATTTGGGACCCAGTGTTCAGGGACCAGAGACAGAGGTTTGAGAGCTGGTTCCATAACCAGGCTTCTGCAGAAAGGATGCGTGGTTCCAGTGACCATGGATCTGGGGCTCACGCCTTGGGCTGGGGACGGGCTCTCCAGGGCCAGGGTTCTGAGGACTCTGAAATCAGGGCTAGGGCTGCGTTTGGTGCGCACAGACGCGGTTTCTGGGGTTCCAGGGACTGTTACCAGGGGTTAGGACACAGTTTTAATATTGGAGTTTCGAGGTCAGGATTTGGGGACAGGAGTTCAGAGGTCCCAGGGTCAAGGGTCAGCTGCTGGAGTCTGGAGGCTGGGGTTCCGGGGTTCAGGGTCCAGGTCTTCAGGTCTCCGGCTTGGGGATCAAGTCAGGGGTCTGGGCTCCCAGACTTGGGGATCCGCACAGGAGTCTGGGGTCCCGGGTACAGGGATCAGAGTCTGGGGCCTCGGGGTCTGGAGGTTCACGGTCCAGGGTCCAGGGCTGGGAGTTCGGGGCCCCAGGGTCAGGGTTGGGGGTCCCGGGCTCGGGCTCGGGCTCTGGGTCGGGGCCTGCCGCCGGCGCGGGGCACTTACGTCGTCGAAGAGCGAGCCCACGTTGGCCGTGACCAGCAGCACCGCGGTGCCCGGGGCGGCCGCCTTCCCCGCCATGGTGCCCGGGCGGCGCGGGCGCTGGGCTGGGCGGCGGCGGCGGCCGCTTCCTCCGGGACCGGCCGGCCGGGGTCTCCGCGGGGCCGCGGGGCGTCAGCTGCGCTGGGGGGCGGCCCCGGGACGCATCGCGGGCTCGGCGGGTCGGCCGGGCCTGGCCGGGGCTCCGGCCTCGCGCTCGCTCGCTCTCTCGCGGCTCCGCGGCCCCGCGCCCGTCGCTCGCCGCCGCGCCTCACAGCGGCCCGCGCGCAGCCATTAGATCCGCTGGGAAAGTTCCCGCAGCCGCCGCCGACTCAGGCTGAGGGCAAGTCCCGCCCCGCGGAGCCGAGCCCGGGGCGGGGCCTGCGTGGGGCGGGGCCTGCGTGGGGCGGAGCCTGACTCGGGGCGGGGCCTGACTCGAGGCGGGGCCTGCGCGGGGTGGAACCTGGCCCCGGGCGGGGCCTGTGCGGGGAGGGCTCTTGCAGGGACGGAGCCTTGCGGGGCGGGGCCTACATGGAAACCGGGGCCGTCTTTGGAGGCGTGGCCTGCTCCGGGGCGGGGCCACCCGTTGGGGCGTGGCCTACAAGGTGGGGCTCCTTCGTCCGGCGGCCTGCTACTGGCCGCTCCTCGACCGCGCTCCTGTCAGTCAGGCTCGCAGGAGCGCCGCGCCCCCGTCCCGCCCCCAGCGCCGCGGCTGCGCACAGGCTCCGCCCTTCGCGCTTCTATGACGTCACGGCCTCGCTCCGGCGGCGCCTCTTAAAGGGGCCACGTGTTCCGGGCGCCTGCGGCTGGTGCGCTCCCCTGCGGCTCCGAGGGCGCCCTCCCACCCCCACGAGGGTGCGGCCCCCGTAGTCCAGCCGCGCGCCTGGCGGGCCGGGGAGGGGAGCCCACCGGGGCGTCGGCACTCGGGCTTGCAGGGGCCGCGCCCGGCCGTAGGCGCAGTCGGGGGTGGAGTCCGCAGTCGGCTCCGGAGCTGCGGCTTCACTTGTGAGGGGCGGCGGGGGGCCGGGGCCGGAGGGGAGGCGTCGGGGGGGGGCCGGGGACGGAGAGGGG